ACCCTAAACCCTAAACCCTAAACCCTAAACCCTAAACCCTAAACCCTAAACCCTAAACCCAGCTCATGATGCGCCTTGCGCAGCTAAGTGCAGCAAACAGCAGCAGCAACACACACAGTCTGGGACCCTGATGCGGCAGCAAAAGTGCCCGGCGGCCTCTCTAGACAAAGTTTCGGGCCTCAGCATATGGGAACGTGCGGGGACTGCAGCAGCAACAGCAGCAGCAGTAGACGGCAGCAGCAGCACCGAACTGCAAAACGGCGAAGCTGAGGAATCAGAGCCTATGGAGAAACTCCTCGACTGCCCGGCGGCAGCGGCCGCCCGCGTGCTGCAGCAGCTGCTGCGGCGGTTGCTGCAGCCTGTGAAAAGCGCCAAAGATGCACAAGACGCCCTGGCAGCCCTGACAGATCTTCTGACGCTGCGGGGCCTGGATGACTTGAATTAGGGCGCAGAGTCGCAGCAGCTGCTGCTGCTGTCGGGGTTTTCTCAGGATTTTGCTCGCTTTCTGAGCTGCCCGTTTGTGCATACTAATATATTTCACAGCGCATGCATGGACTACGCCCATCGTTCTGCTGCTACATATCCAGACAAAAATCCCAGCGCTGTTCTGAAAGAAATGCCACTGGGAAGGCGGCGGGAGCTGCGGCTCGCTGCGCTGCGAGATGCAGCAGAACTCAAGCAGCGAGCTATGCTGCTGCTGCGCTTCTGCCTTCCTATGCTTGCCGAAGATCGCAGGAGCCAATCAGCTCTCGTCTGCGGCACCCTTGCTGTGCTGCAACCGCCCAGCAAGCTGCAGAAGCAGCCAGACGCATGCAAGACGGGCTGCTGCGAAGCTGCCAAGGAGCACGGCGGCCGTGTTGCAAATGCTGCTGCAGGTACTGCTGCAGGCGCTGCTGCAGTGGATATTGCTGCACGCGCTGCAGCAGACGCTGCTGGTGATGCTGCTGCAGGAGCTGTTGCAGACACTGTTGTAGACGCCGCAGAAGACGCCGTTGCAGACCCTCCTGCAGACGCTGTTGCTGCGGCTGCTGCAGACTCTGCTGCAGAGGCTGCTGCAAGCGCTGTTGCAGGCGCTGCCGCCGGCGCTGCTGCAACCGGTGCTGCGGACGCTGCTGCAGACGTTGCTGCAGGCCGCTCGAGCGACATTGACAATCAGCGGAGTTAGAGTGAAATAGAAAAGATGAATGAAGAGGAGGCTGAGGGAAAAGAGGATTGCGATTTCGCCCGGTGTACTATCTTTGCCGTTTCAAACCCAGAGCCCTCGGCTTTTATTTCAAATTGCACGTTGCCTCTTTGATGCCATTCCCCTCTGGACAGCCCCTGAGAGGGGGCTTCCCAACGAAGAATATGGCCTCCGGAAAGGCCAAAAGGTCTCTAAAGTGTGCATGTGTCGCTGCAGATGCCGCGGCTGCTGGCGCGTCCCATGTACAGCTCGAGCGCCTCCACGCAAACCGCTGCCTCCTGGAGCTTGTCTCAGAAAGCTATCTTTGCGAGGCGGTGAATAGCTGCGTGCGACAAATTGTGGAGCTTCAGAACTCGTTTCTTGAGGGCTTTAAGGCTTATATGGAAGCGCCAGAGAGGCCTCCGGGGGCCCCTTTCGGGGCCCCCAAAGCCTTGAAAGAAGCGGCCGCGGCAGCCAAAAATCAGGCCACTACTGTCTCTCTATAAAACCAAAAGGAACAGGCGACCGCTGCACTCACACAGCTTTTCAAAATATTTGGAATTGCCTGCCCCAGCGCTCTTCAAAAGTGCCTTCGGCAGTATGAGGCTCGAGGCCGTTTGAGCCGCTGGGAGCTCTTACCTCGAATCTTTAAAAACACCAGCGGCTCCCTTTCTGGCAATTCATGAGGCATTTTGCAGTCACAAATTGAATTTGTTTCTTGAAACTCTTGAAAAGCCCCTAGAAACTCTGCAATTTTAGCGTTCTAATCTGCTCGCCTTGTTCCTTTGCTCTTAAAACCCGGCAAATGACTTTGTACTAAAAAGGTATCGCTGCTGCCAATTGGGGAATTTGCTCAAGTAGACAGTATTAGTGACGTGAACTTTTTTCCCAGCTAGGGATGACCTCTGCTGCATCTGGTCCGCAAACCTCAGAAGTGAATTTGAATTCCTCTGAAGCTATAGGCTCAAGGCTATCATTCAAACCATTTTAGGAAATATGTTTCTCGATAAATTCATACCATAGCCCTTAGTGGTTTGGGCTGGAAAGACTCAATGACTTTAATAAGGTTGTTGCAACTTTTTAAAGAACTGGCAACTGGCCACCTGAATACTGTGAACACCTTTTACCTGCGCTTCCCGCCGCGCAGCAGATCTAGAGCATTTTTAAGCGCCTGTGTCTTTCGATTTCTGTAAAGCCGCTGCAGCTGCTTAGTGGCATTAAACGCTTTTACTGCTGCCGCTGCTGATGCTGCCTTTAAAGCGAAGCCCAGTTTGCAGGCAAGAGCTTTAAAGAACAAAAGATTGCTCGACAAGCTGAAATACGGTTTCTGAGTTATTTTTTATTTCGTGCGCATTTAAAGTTCAAAAGCGCCATCTTTCCCTCTTACGGAAAGAAGCAGCAAATGTTCTGAATAAAAGCATTGTTTTAAGACAAGAATGAGACTTTGACACAGTTGCTTAAAACAGTTTGTCTTGTTGCTCAGAATGCATGCATGCGTTCCTGTTGCAAAAGCCAAGAGCCCAGCGTCCTCATTTGCAGACTTTGAGTCTTTTCTGAACTCTTTCGTCGCGATTTCTTGGCGTCTTGAGTTCCCTTTCTGTCAATACTTAATGAGTTGCCAATTTAAGCCTTTTCTGTCACTGTTTTAGGGACTTAAATTCAAGTTCAAGTTGAAGATTCAGAGTTTCTCCTTGGGGGCTGCAGCCGCGAGGAGGAAGTCGCCGAGCATTTCCATTTAGGGGGGCCCCATGTAGAGGCGCCTGAGGTAGAGGGCCTGGGGCCCCTCGGAGTATTGCGCGACGGCGGGCAGTTTGGACTTGATTTCGAAGTCAATGAGATCATTAAGTTCTGCGTTGAGCTGGGCAAAGAGGAGGCGGCCGCGGAGCTGCTGCTGCTGGCTGAAGGCAGCAGCAACTTGCTTCCAGGCGTCGAGGAGGAGTTCGCAGCCAGGGCGGCGGGGCTCGTAGTAAAGAACTGCGAAGGGGGTCCTTGGTGCTGCATGCAGAGTCTGGAGGAACTGGTGGTGACTCAGCTCCTCACAAGATCCCTCGGGCTCGCAGCACTTAGCCGGTGAGACCTGAAGTGCAGGTCTCGGTTCCCCCGGGCCCACTGCTCGAGAAAGGCCTCGAGGCTGTAGTATCTACGAGGCATGAGAAGAGAATACTGTAAAAAGGGAGCGGCCTCTCTTTAGAGCCCAGAGGTCCTCTGGTAGGCCCACGGGTTGGGCCTGGGGTCTTTGAGGGCAGCCCCCCCCTAGCGGGTGCTAAAGAGGGCGTTGGCCCTGGCGGACTCTTTGAGGCTCTTGCGGGCAATATGGAAGGCTATTTGGGATTTATATTCCTCGCAAAACTTCATCAGCAGGTCCGCAATGTCTTGAAAGCTTTCAAAGCGACTCACCCGTACAGACAGCATCACCAGGTGGCCCTGCAAAGGGCCCGCAGGTACTTCGCCGCAAAACACTTTTCTGTTTTCAGCCTCCAGAAGCAGCCCCAGCACTGCCCACAGCTCCCAGACGGGTTCGGGGGAACTGAGAAAAGTTTCTTCGCCCAAGTCGAAGGGCAGCAGCTATCTGTACACGTGGAGTTCTTCCTTCTCTGCCTCCTCCATAAACTGCACTTTGAACAAAGTTAACTTCGACAGTAGCTACTGCCGCTGCTGCGCCAGCTGCGCCAGCAGCAGCGCCTTCGCGCTGCTCCGGTGGACCCACGCGTGGACCACTTGCCCAATGGGCGAGGCCTGCGGCCCCCCAGCCCCCTCCTTGAGCTTCAACTCAAGAAAAATCTGCTGCCCAGCCTTCCTCAGCCAGCACCCAATAAGCAAATTCTGCAGTAGCCACGTCGGGGCCCCCGTAGCTGCTGAACGGCGCGCTGCTGCTGGCCCTGCCCCAGGGTACAGTCGCAGCACGGGGTCCTCCTTAGAGGCCCACCGGGAGACCACAAGGGGGGCCCCCGTAGTTTCCAGTAGCTCTCGGAACTCCGAACACTTGCTCAGCGGCACTGCCACCATCCGCGCCAGGCTGCCCCAGTCCCGCAGCAGCCGTTGCGCCTTGCGGCTCTCCCGCAGCGCCTCTTCAGACCACGGGCGGCGGGCAGTCAGCAGCAGCAAAAGCTGCCTATAGGGGACTTCCTTTGGACCCAACAGCCCCAGGTCCTCCACAGAAAGAGTCTCTAAAGGGGGCAGCTCTTCTTCTCTAAAGATTCTCCCTCGGTAGCCTGAGCCTTCTCCAAGTGGGCTCTGGCGTCGGGGCAGCTCCCTAGGGGGTGCTGCAGCGGAGCACCTAAATTTTCTGCTCCTCGGGGATTTGTGGCCTCCGCAGGGAGAATAAAGAAGCCTTTGGGAAGAGACATGTCAAATAAATGCGTAAATACCCGGAAAAATGGAACAAACCCACTCGCACTGCCCCCCGCCGCAGCGGTCGAGCACCAGACCGCAGCACCCAGGAAAAGTGAGCAGCATACTTAATTATCGCCGAACTTTGTACTGCTCTTCTCTTTCAGTTTTCATATATGCAATTACATTTCAAGGGATTGCGCATTAGGGGGACTTCGGCCGCTGAGAAACACCTGAGAAGGCCGCGAGACGCTATGGGGATGGAGCAGCTAGAAGATTGAACAGAAGAGAGCCTTCTAGAGACCAGAGATGCAATAAGCATCTGCTCTGCGCATTTTAAAGAATAACGTATGTTCGAAACATTAATGAACGAACTGAAAGTATTCAAAACCGCGGGAGGAGCCTGCAGGCGTTGTGCGAAGCTGGGATGTCTGTCTGGGCAGTTGTTCCGTGTTCAAAGCAGCTTAGTCCGCTACCGCTGTAAACGTCAAAAGCATATGAATGAAAAACTGATTAAATTTACTCTTTTCAATATTTCTGGCTCGCGAACAAAGCAGATACCACAAAGACACCAAGGTTACTGGTGCGCGATACTGCTCGTGGCGGCGCGGCTGCAGCGCTGCGAGCCCTCTACACAAGGCTGCTGAAATCCTTCCAATTTGTCGTACTTAATTTAAATGGATTTAACATTTGGTTGCACATCTTGTAGGTAAACTATGCAGATATCCGAATCGGGGGAGTGCGGGCCAGGAAGGCAGCTGGTGGCGTGATACCGCTCCCCGCTAAATTCTGTAGATCCGAAGGATAGGCGCATCCTTAATTATCTCTGATTCACATAAATTGTTTTATCTAAATACTAAAAAAAATTAAATAATTAATCATTTCTAATGTACAGTGGAAGCCCGAAAGTCTGCGACAGGAGCAGCAGCATCGCTGATCACTTGATGCAGCCATCGGCTCGATGCCAACCGTCCTTTACGTCTTTGCATCTCCTTAACACGATTTCTGTGAAATAAGACAAAAACCTTTAATTGTTTATTTTAAAATTATTTTTCCGTCTCAAACGACATTGAATGCAGTGGGTGCAGAGCCGTCTAAGCCTCCCTGCCATCTGGTGAAATCAAGAAGTAAATTGTGAACGAACACTGAACCGATATGGAAACGAAATAAATATAGGCCCAATATTCAAAAAGTAAATCTAGCACTGCACTCATCTGGTTTGGTACGGGTTGATTGGCTGCAGCGACTAAGGTTTAACGCTTAGGGTTTAGGGTTTAGCGTTTAACGTTTAGGGTCCAGGGTCTAGTTTTCAGTAGTTGGGATGCAAGGCTGTATGCGCCTATTCAGCCCGCTGCAAGCCTATAACCCCTAGGCTTAGCAAGCTTTCGGCAGAATTCGTAATCCCCTAAACCCTAAACCCTATGCCCTAAACCCTAAGCTCTAAACTCTAAACCGTAAACCCTAAACCCTAAACCCTAGGGCCTAAGGCCTGGGTTCATAGATGTGCTGGCGAGCTTTTTGGGCCCTAAATCCTGTGTGCACTAATATGCGCCCTAGTGCCCAGCTCTTATTAAACCCCAAACCCTAAACCCTAAACCCTAAACCCTAAACCCTAAAATTGAAACCTAACTGGAATTCTCGTTTCGCAAATTCTACTTGAATACACTCAAGGGTTTACTGGCCAACAAAACGACAAACAAACTAATCAGTAAAAGCTGAAGAGCTCATCAACTGCGTAGCTAGCTGTAGCTAGCCACAGCTAGCTGCCTGCTTGGCTAGCTAGCCAGTAGCTGGCTAGCTAGCTAGGTGCAGCGGGACTGATTAAGCAGCTAACTAGCTACCTAACCCATCCAGCTAGCTAGCTAGCTAGCCAGCTAGCCAGCTGGATGCACTTGGCAGCTAGCTAGCCAGCTAGCTAGCCAGCTAGCTAGCTAACTAACTAGCTGAGTGGTTGGCCAGCTAGCGAGGGTCTAATTCAAAAGGCTATCTGCCAATCAAGTATCGAGCTGGCCAATCGACACAGCTGCTCAGCTCTCTAGCTAGCTAAGCAGCTGGCTAGCTAGCTAAGTAGCTAGCTCCCTAGCTAAGGAACTGGCTAGCTAGCTAAATAGGTGCCTAGCTAGCTAAATAGCTAGCTAGCTAAATAGCTAGCTAGCTAAATAGCTAGCTAGCTAGCTGGCTAGCTAAGTAGCTAGATAGCTACCTAGCTAGCTAAAAGCTAGCTAGCTAGCTAGCTAAAAAGCTAGCTAGCTAGCTAGCTAAAAAGCTAGCTAGCTAGCTAGCTAGCTAAAAAGCTAGATAGCTAGCTAGCTAGCTAAAAAGCTAGCTAGCTAGCTAGCTGGCGGGGGCTGCTCACTTTTCGGGATTGTTTGCGAATTTGATTCTGTCGTGTTGGTTTTTTTTAATTCTCCTTTCGAGCTGCGCAGCGCAGCGCTTAATGGAGGCCTCTGTGATTTCCTCGACGTGCATCTGCAGCCGGAAATTGCAAATGTTAAAAAATAAAAATAAAACGAAATAAAATAAATTAAATAAATAAAATAAATAAAATAAAATAAAATAAAATAATAAACAAAACAAAATAACAAGAGCAGACACAGAAGACGGGGAAATGAGATCAGGGAGCAACGAGATATTCTTTTAGCCGCTCAATTCAAATAATTCAAATTTTTTATTTCCAACTTTTTCACTGCAGTCTTTCCAGAAGAGAAAAAGTTATGTCTAAACATTTAAAAAAGAAGTAAAATGCATTTATTTAATTGTAAAAATGTTTTATTTTCGTTTATTATTTATTCATTTGCGCGTGCGCAGTGTCTGTGGAAGGTGTATGTACACCTGAAGGTGCACCCGCAGCGTTGCTCGTTCTCGCTTGCGCAGAGGCGCCCATTCTCAAATATATAAATAAATAAACATTTATATTTTAAAAACATTTCTTATTTTGAAATAAATAAAACATTTTAAGGAAGAAATGCTCGCGGGGGCTCGCGGCTCTCCTCTTTGCAAGATCAGATCGGCGCGAAGCCCCAGATCTGCCACTTCCACCAAAACTAAACGTGAAAATGCATTTCATTTCTTCTTCGCGAGTTTAATAATAATATTTTATTAAAAAGAACAAATCCAGGCATTCTTTATTCGTTTTTAAATGCAAAAAGGAGGAAAAGTGAGCAGCTTTCCCCCCGCGCCGTGTGCGCGGCCCGCAGCCAAGTTGGGGTGTATGTACACCTCACCTCGTCAGCTTGCTCCAAAATCTTCTCAACGGCATTTGCGTCAATTTCGTCTGGCAGATCTTCTAAAGAGACTTTTCCCGAGGATCCCGCGAGGGCCCCCCCGGCTTCAGCAGCAGCAGCTGCTGCTGCACCTCCTGCTGCTGCTGCTGCTGCTGCTGCTGCGTCCCCCAAGTGCCGCTTTGCTGCAGGGCCTGCCTCCGCCCCGGGCCGCTTCGGCGGCTCCGGCGCCAGAGTGTAGGGCTTGATGATTTCCTCGAGTTCCATTTTAGCGGCTAAGTCCTGTTCTCAAGCCCATTTGGAAAAGGGTTTAGGGTTTAGGGTTTAGGGTTTATGGTTTAGGGTTTAGGGTTTAGGGTTTAGGGTTTAGGGTTTAGGGTTTAGGGTCGGAGGAGGCGGCGAAAGCGGCTCGCGGGGCCGCCACGGGAGGCAGCAGGAGAAGCTGCGAGGGTTTGAAGTGAAAATAAATTTAAAAAATAAATTTTGGAATTTAAATGAAAGAGATCGGAGTTAAAGAGCTGCTGCTGCTTCGCATGCAGCAGCAGCGAGATCAGCCCAGCCTAGCAGCTGCAGCAGCAGCTGCAGCAGCAGCACGGAAAAGAAGCAGCTTCGGGGGCACTCGAGATGGGAAAGAAAAGAAATTGAATAAAAATGAATTTAAAAGAGAATTCAACTTCTAACATTGTTGTATTCCACTTCTTGCTGCTGCATGCGCTGCAGCAGCAGCGCAGCAGCAGCAGCAGCAGTGGAGCCCCGTGGCTGCGAGGGTGGCGAGCAGCTCGAAAGCGAGCTGCTGCGCCTCAGACATCATTTAAAAGGGGAAAAATAAAAAGTAAATAATTAATAAAAGAAAGAAAGTGAAGATCTATTCGGTTTAGTCCGCGCTTTCCCGCAGAAGTCCGCCACCGCCGCAGCCGCCGCGCTGTCGCCGCCTGACGAGTCGTCACCCCCCCGAACTTCGGCATTTCCTCCTTCTTTTTCGTCCTTCCGCTTCTCTAACATTATTAATTAGTTGCAAAAGGACATTTGCCTTCTTTAGTTCGCAGATTTCCGAGTTTTATCGCTTTCCTGGCCCTGGCGCTCACTGACTGCCGCAGCGGTCTCAGCGGCAGTTCGCAAACTGCGGCGGCTGCCGATCTTCGCCCAAAACCCGTCAGGTTTCTCTTAAAACTTCAATAAATAGAAAAAGAGATTAAAAACTCTTTTTGTCGAGGTATTATTGCCCGGTGGCAGCGCAAATTCGCGGCGAATCGGCCCGCTTTCGGAATTCAAGTTTTCAAGTTTCAGTGAAGTCCGCAGCTCAATGCGCGTCTTCCGAGCCGCTCTTTCTCCGCATTTTCGCGACATATTCTCTTCAAAGTCTTTTTCTGAGTTATCTGTCTTTTCTTTTTCTCCTTTTGCGCCTTCAAACCGCCAAATGGCCGCCTTTTCCACCCTCCCGCGGCTGCGGGTCTACGAGGGCTTCCGCCAAGCCGTCGGCAACACTCCGCTGCTCAAGTTGAAAGCGGCTTCCAAAGCCGCCAATTGCTCCATTTGGGGCAAATGCGAATTCCTCAACCCGGGGGGCTCCGTGAAGGACAGGCCGGCAGTCAACATGTTGACTTTGGCGGAAGAACGAGGCGAGTTCGCCCGGCTTTGCCGCTGCTGCTGCTGCTGCTGCTGCTGCTGCTGCTGCCTTCTTCGTTTCTTTTGCGGTGTTCTTTTAATTAAAGCCATTTGCGGTTCAAAGGGCCTTTTAATTGCGCTTTTTGCGCTGGTTTTGCTGCGCCTTCCTTTGCTGTTTCTGCCTGTGGCGGAGGCGCTGCTGCTGCTCTTGCTGCTGCAATTAATGCTTTTATTCCCCTTTTGCATTTATTTATTATACTTTTGTTGTTCTAAATTCTATTATTATTATTATTAGCCTTTCTTGCACTCCTGCTGCCGTTTCTGTCTTTGCTGCTGCTGCTTTGCTGCATCTTCTGCTGTTGCTCCTTCAACTGCTGCTGCAGCAGAAAGAATCTCCCAGTAATTTCCACCAATTCAGCTGCAGTTCTTTTAACTAGCATTATTTTTATTTTTTAATTTAATTATAATTCAAATTAATTCATTAATTGACTCGCCAGTGAGTTATTTTTTGCTGCTTTGCTGCATCACCGCGACTGAAGAGGTCAATGTGCGAATATATTTGCAGGCATTGTTATCTTCTTTTGTTTCTTTGCATCTGTTCTTTTATTTACTTTATTAAATCTTATTTATTTATCTTTTATTTATTTTTATGCATTTATTTCTTCATTTGCTGCAGCACAAAAGCTCAAAGATCTGCTGCTGCGGCAAAAATTGCATTATTTGTTTTGTTTGTTTTTCTGCTTCCAGACATTCAAATTAAGTGCTGTTTGCATATTTTTTTCATTTCCAATTAATTAATTTATTTCCTTTTGCACAGAAGTTCAGTTTTTTGGTTTTGTTTTCATTTGAAGTCCCCAGTTGTGCCTTTTCTCCGTGCACTTCTCCCCAGTTGCCTCACTGACACGAAAACCCTCGCATTTCCCCGCAACAGGGCGCACAAACTCGATTTTTTTCCATTTATTGCTTTATTTTATTATTTTATTTCTTTTATTTATTTTATTTTCCACTTTTTGCCAATTTAGGGGCCATTTCCCCCGGCGGGTGGATTGTCGAGGCTTCCGCCGGCAACACCGCCATTGCGCTGACGCTCGCAGCGAAGGAGAAGAACTACAGAGTTGTTTGCGTAATGCCGGACACTCAAACGGAGGAAAAGAAAGTAAAGACCATTTCGGAATTAAATTTTTATTTTATTTTATAAATAATATATTTATATTATTCACATAATTCGAATAGAGTCTGCTTTCCCGCAGCTTTCCTTGCGCGCTCCTCCTGCTTTCTTTCCCGTTGCAGCCGTCCGCAAGCTCTGCTTTGGTCCTTTAAATGGTTTAAAAGTGTTTTATTTCTTCATTTAAATGTTATATTTCTTAATTTAGATGTTTTATTTCTTAATTTAGCAGTTTTTTCTTTTTATTTTTCTCAATTTGCCGACTCTTTGCCGCATCTTGAAACTTGCTGCCTGCAGCGGCTGCTGCGGACCCTGGGCGCTGTCGTTGTGCCGGTTCCTTTTCAAGAAGTTTCCCACATTAATCACTACAACAAAATTGCCAAAAGACTCGCAGAGAAAATAAATGGACATTTTATTGGCCAGTTTGACAACACGGTGAGAACGGCCTTCAATTTGCTCCATTTTGCACTTATTTCCATGCATGTATTCCTTTTCCGAAATGAGTTTCACGCGTTTAATTTGCATTTTACTTATTTATTTATTTATTTATTTATTTATTTATTTACTTATTTATTTATTTATTTATTTATTTATTTATTTGCAGTTTCTCTTTCTTTGCTTTTCTCTTCGCCCAGTTTCCTTCGCTGTTCACTTGTTCAGTTTCCTCTCATCTTGCTGCGGAGGCCCCATGCATTTATTTTTGTTTTAATGTTCATTTATGAATGAAATATATTTAAATGAAATATAATTTATATTTATTTATATTTCAATTAATATAATTTATATTCATTTATATTTCAGTTAATAAAAAACACTATTTGAAGGCCAATAAAGACTTCGGAACTGTCTATTTGGCTATGCTTTCCTGGAAGTGTTTCGGTTTCGTTTTTTTGCAGTTGCAAATTTGATTCTTCATTCCCTTCTAAGTTTATTCTTTTAATTCATTTCATTTAATTCATTTTATTTAATTCATTTATTTCAAATTTTATTCCCTTCTTGGTTTATTCTTTTAATTCATTTTATTTAATTCATTTTATTTAATTCATTTATTTCAAATTTTATTTATTTTGTTTTATTCAATTCTACTTTTCAAGTGTCTCAGTCTTGCCGCACGGTATTTGTTTCTTCTTCTCATGCTCCTACTGTTCGCATTTTCCCCGCCAAACTGTTGAATAATTGAATTATTTAAAATAAAATAAATAAATAAACAAATAAATAAATAAATAAATTAATTAATTAATTAATTAATTAATTAATTAATTAATTAAATAAATAAGAAATTAAAAATGAAGAAAAAGGAAATAGTTTCCGCCTTTTTGTCTGCAGGCGAACCGCCTTGCCCACTTCAACACCACAGGACAAGAGATTTGGTGCGCAAGTGGAACTTTGCGAAATAAAATAAATTCATTTCTTTTATTTCAAAAAAGAATTCTTTTTAATTTAAATATAATTTAATTGCAATTTACTTTGAAGTTGCACTTCTGCTGCTTTGCTTTGCTTTCAATTGTGCAATTTTCTTGAATTTGTTCCCAAAAAACTCCGCCACAAAAGCTCTTTTTGCGTTTTTTTTCTGCTTTTTAATTTCTTCGATGTTTCCTTTTTATTTGCGCTTTATTTTGAACAAAAGGGGAGATTAAAAGGGGCAAAAAGCGCATGCAAAGAGCGGAGAAGTTCGGAAATGAAAAAGTTCAAGTTTGCGTTCAGGGAACAAACAAATGGAGATCTGGATGGTTTTATTTGCGCCGCGGGCACTGGAGGAACTGTCACAGGTGTATCTACACGTCTGCGTTTGAACCGGCACTTGCAGCTCGCGAAAGCAGCAGCAACCAGCAGCAGCAGCAGCAGCAGCAGCAGCAGCAGCAGCAGCAGCAGCAGCGGCGGCCAGGGACCCATCACTATGGAACAGATTCTCAATCATCTCAACTCCACGAGAAAAGAAAAACTGGCCCTCACTGATGTGCAAATGCAAACAGCAGCAGACCCCAGGGGCCCCCCTGCAGACGGGCCTCTCTATGGGGGCCCCTCGGGGGGCCCCCTGTCTGGGGGCCCCTCGCAGGGGGGCCCCCCGGGGGGCCCCCTTGCTGCGGGGGGCCCCTCTGAGGGTTTGAGGGAAAGACTTAAAAGGGTTTTAGTTGATGGGGGCCCCGTGATTGGTTTGGCGGATGTTTCGGGGGCGGCTTTGTTTCGTTATTTCACTAAGGGAGAAATGCAAACAGAAGGAACTTCTATTGTCGAGAACATCGGTAAACCCTAAACCCTAAACCCTAAACCCTAAACCCTAAACCCTAGTTGAGGCGCCGCGAGGCGCGGGCGGAGTCCAAAGTGCGCAGGAGAACTTCCATTTGCACCCAAAGACTGCTTTCGCCGGCCAAAGATCTTCGAAGTTGTTTTATTTTATTCTTTTTTGAATTAAAATTCCGAAAAAGAACTTTTATTTCCTTTTAATTATTGTTTTCCGCGGCTTCGCCCGCTGGGCTTGACCAGGCCAGCACCGAGTCACTGGAAACCTCGAGGGTTTCTACCCAGACTTCTCTTGCGAAATAAAAGATCAAGAAGTTCTGCACTGGACCCACAGATTGCTGCAAGAAGTAAGAATATAATAATAATAATAATAATAATAATAATAATAATAATAATAATAATAATAATAATAATAATAATAATAATTAGTTTAGGGTTTTGTTCAATGTACTTGGGGCTTTATTTGTTTCCAGTTCTTGAAGGAAACTGGCGCGGGTTTCGGGCAAGAGAAAACCAAGTTGAATTTCTACTTTTAAACTCGCAATAAATTTCAATTTATAAAATTAAATAAAATAATTCCGCGCAGTGTTTTGTTTGACTTTAACTTCACAGCGTTTCTGAAATTCCAATTTTGAATTCCAATTGTCTTTTCTTGAATAGTCTGTCAAGAAAAGCTGCAAACATTAATTCAATTTCTTCAATTAATTCAATTTTTGATTTTATTTTTTAATTTAATTCAATAAGATGAATTAATTGACTGAACTTGGAGGGTCAAGTTGAATGAGTTCAGCCTAGTGGCTGCAGAAGGAAGCACTGGCGAATCCGCGGTCAATTTGCGGCCATTTCTCTTCGTTTGAAGGCGATTTGTCTTTAAAATAATAAATTAATTATTTAATTTAATTATTTAATTTGTTTATTGTTTATTTTTTGCTTTATTTCCCCTCAGGAAGGCCTCCCCCTGGGAATGACTTCCGGCGTGAACGTCGCGGGGGCGGTGCGGCTGGGCAAGGCGTTGGGGCCCCAGCACACCATCGTCACAATGCTGTGTGATTATGGTGAGACAAAAAATTGATTTTTGGAACTTCTAATTAGCCAAATTAAATTGTTTTTAGAGGCATAGATGCGCAAGAATAAGACGAACCAGTATATCCAGTTTCACCGGTTTTTGTTTAAAATAAAAAGAGTTATTTTCATTTACGTGGCCATGTGACCCCCCTGGCCCTCAAGTTTGCAGCGGCTGCACAGCCATTATCTCCCGCCAAATAAGTGGCTGGAGCCCACTCAGCAAATAAGCGATAAAGACAATTAAATTAAAAAAAAGAAACAAAAAAAAACAGAAGTCCATCAGTTCAACTTGAAGAGATTTAGTTAAAAGAGTTGAAGTGTTTGCAAGTTTCAACAAGTACCCTGCGGTGTCAGTGAATCTTTCGAAGAATAATAAATCAATTAAAAGTCTAAATAAAAACTTTAAATTAAACACTGCGGAAATAAACGAAAGAAAAACTTGAAGTTCAAACCCTAGGCATTCTAGCGGCAATAGACTTAGGACTTGGCGACAGTTTTTGCACAGGCTTTTGGCCATTTAAAAGCTGCAGAAGTTGCAGAATCTTGAATAAAAAAGATTAAAAATAAATGCAGAAAAAAGATAAAAAGAAATGAATTATTTAATTCTTTTTGAATCTTTTCTTTCAAACTTCTTTGCTTCGCTTGCTGCTTCCCTTCAGGACATCTGTACGCACAGAAACAATGGAACCCTCAATTCCTGCGGTCTCTGTCGCTGCCAGAGCCCACTTGGATGCACGAAAAAGTGAGTTCTAGGGTTTAGGGTTTAGGGTTTAGGGTTTAGGGTTTAGGGTTAGGGGTTTGGGGTTTGACGGAGTTGAACTCGCGTTGTTCGCTTCTGTGCAGCAGCAGCAGCAGCAGCAGCAGCAGCAGCAGCAGCAGCAGTGACCATGCGATATATTTTCAGTATTTCAGGAGTTCTTAAAATGTGCAAAAAGGAACTTTTCTCAAAATAGAAACAAACACATTTGAAAGTGAAATAAAGTGGAAGTTTCAAATCGAAACTTGCAACTTCTTCGAAGCACAATTCAAACAAATGAACCAACAAGGAATCTACAAATAAGCGAAGAGCCAAACAGACAATTACATTAACAATTAAATAAATATTCAAATAAGATTTGAAATAATTTAATTCAAAAAAAGAATAAAGATCAAATTGCTGTTTCTTGTTTTGGTTTTCCCGCAGCCGCCGCCCGAAATTTTGGAGGCTCTCGAGGCCAGTTTCCTCCCAGTGGACGACAGCGAGGAAGTTAAAAAGAAAATGAATCATTAAAATGGATTTAATTATCAAATTAAAAGACTTATTGAACAAATTCGACAAACAAATTCAACAAAAAGGCTCCACTTTTCCCCAGTTTCCGGCTGCTGCGAACAGCAAGCAAAGGCAGAGGCGCTGACAGCACGGGCGTTGATATGTATGACACAAGTCCATTTATTTTCGTTTTTTTGTATTTTTTTATGTTTTCTTTTTATTTATTTCATTTTTTTGTGAATAAATGTCTAAAAAGGAGAAAAAATGCAGGCAGAAGCAACCAAACTGGAAAGTAGAAGTGCCCATTTCGCTCATTGCGCGCTGCTGCGGCTCCGGCGTTTCCAAATGCATGCAAAAGATAATTTGTGAACTTTAAAAAGCGAAATAAATCAAAATAAATAATAAATGAACTTTTAATTTGTGTTTGTGTGCACTGGGAAGACACAGGCACTTGGGCTCATTCACAAAGCCATTTCAGCAGCAGTTTAGCACTTCTTTTTGCTTTCCCTTATTCAAATAAGGCAGCAGCCACACAGGTATAAATATTAAATAAATAAATAAATAAATAAATAAATAAATAAATAAATAAATAAAGTGCGGGCTCGTGCATTTGTAAACTGAACAGGTTTGTCTCATCCAGCCCAATTGAATTAGTTCAAAGATTTGCAATAAGTGGAAACTTGAATGCATGCAGGTTTCGTGAATTCCGCTGATTTGCCGTTTATATTGGCATAAAGAGAATAAATAAACATTCTTTATGTCGATTTTATTAAATTAAATCAAAAAATAAACACAAAGGCTTTTAAAGTCTTTAATTTCCGCTCAGTTTCCCCCATTTGGCACTGGCCGGAACATGTTTGCACTGCGCAGCGCGCTGGCTTAGACTTGCACAGCCAAGCTTTTGTTTATTAAAGGTAACAAATAAATAAATAAATAAATAAATAAATAATTTATTTATTTATTTATTTATTTGTTTTTATTTCTTCATTGGTTTTTTTATCCCCCAGAGCTGACTGGAGTCAGCGTTTCGTCGAAACACGGACTTGAACTTTATTTGAAATTCAAAATTCAAATTTTCGAATTCCAAATTTTTGCATTTCTTTTTCTCAAGATCATTTTTGCTTCTTCACCTGCTGCTGCTTTGCTGCTAAACAGCCGAAAAATAAATACTTTTCAACTTATAAAGTGGCATTTTTGGTGATTAAAAGGTACTCCAAAGGCCATTTTATTCCAATTAAAAGATCCTCCAAAGCCATATTTATTTATTCAACTTAAAATATATACAAAAGGCCTTTTTATTCCAATTAAAAGATACACTAAAGGCCGTTTCGTTCAAGTTAAAAGACACAGCAAGGGCCATTTTATTCAACTTGGAAGATAATCTTGAGGCCATTTTACTCAATTTAAAAGATGTACCAAAGGCCACTTTATTCAAATTAAAGATAATATTAATTCCATTTTAATTCTTTAAATTACTTTTAATTGGTTTTAATCTTTTAAGTTACTTTTAATTGACTTTGGTGGAGAGTTTCGCGAGTTGAAGTGTATTTGCAAATTCATCTTTCACCCAATTTAAAGGAATTGGTAAAGACCTGCACAAAAGCTTTTAAAACTGACAAAAAGTGAAACAAAAAGACTTTTTGCTTTTATTTATTTTCTGAAAAGTCTCAAAGTTGAATTATTTAAACTGGAAAAGTGGACAGAAGACGCGCGAGCAGCAGCGCACTGTCCTGTCGTAGTCTTTGAAGGCGAATTTGAATCCAGTTTTGTTTTAAACTTGAAATATAATTTTAATTTTAAATTTAATTTTAATTTTAAATTTGAATTTGAATTTAAATTTAAATTTAAAATTCAATTTTGTTTCATTCCTTTACGGGGGCTGAATAGCGCGAGGCCGAGCCCAGCCAGGACTGGTTCGCGGGTGGTCTGTTGGATCTGCAGTTCCAGTTTTGTTCGAAAAGTTTTCCGAATGAAAACAATTTCAAATTTTGAAAATTTTATTTATTTATTTTTGAATTAAAAAGCTGAACTCAAAACGCTGTTGAAACTTCTTAGTTTGCAAATCTGATTGCCATTCTTCTGCAGCGAGTGAACAGCGGGCTCCTCGCGTTCGCCATTAAGTCGCAAACGAAATTAAATTGAAATTTAAAAAGAGCAAAAAGGTGAAACTGAATTAAATTGAAACAAAAAAAGCAAAAAGGTAAAACTGAATAAAAATAAATGCAAAAGAAGTTACTGAACCGATTCGCAGTTTGCAAGTTCTGTCTTCGCCGCTTCTTCCACAACGAGAATTATTTTCCACAAAAAGAAAACAATTCCTTCGCATTATTTTCCACAAAAATAAACATTTCCTTTGCATTATTTTCCACAAAAATAAAACAATTTCTTTTCTGAGATCCAAATAAAATGCCATTTCCACTTTTGCAAGTTTCCGTCGGTGACCCTGCCGATACACCTGGCGGTCCCGCAGCCGCTCCTGCTGCAACTCGCCGCCTCCCCGTGGAATCCTTTGCTTTCAAAGCCCTTCACTTCTTAATTTGTTGAATTTCTGCAACTCTTCGACATTTAATTACTTATTTCCGATTTATTGAGCATGGCGGCGGTTCCCGCGGGCGGCGGCGCCCCGCGTTCGCCGCGGTTCCAAGTGCAGCGGCTGCTGGGCCAAGGCACCTTCGGCCGGGTCTACCTGGTGCTGGAAAAGCCCTCAGGGAGGCAACTGGCGCTGAAAAGAACTCAAAAATGGACCAAAATTGCCTCCAGAGAGGCCCTGGGCCTCGAGGAGTGCAGAGGATCGGCCGCGCTGGTGGCTGCGGACTCCGTCTTCTACTCCACCACCCCCGCGGGCTTCACCGTCCAGAACATCTTGATGGAGCTCCAGGGCTTTTCTCTGCAGCTCTTTTTGGCGCGACACCGCCAGGCCCGCCAAGCAGCAGCAGCAGCAGCAGCAGCAGCAGCAGCAGCAGCAGGCCAGCCTTTCCCGCACACCAGCAGCAGCAGCAGCAGCAGCAGCAGCAGCAGCAGCAGCACGATTCGAAACATAAAGTCCATCGCCCGGCAAATAATTGAGGGCGTTGCAGCTCTCCATTCCCGCGGAATAATTCACCGGGATTTGAAGCCCGAAAATGTTTTGGTGAGTTTCAAATTGCATTTTAAAAGTTTTATTTTTTTTCTTCATTTTGAGTTCAAATAATGTTTAAATAATCCTTTTTTTGCGTTTTTGTCTCAAGTTCAACTTCAAATAATCAATTAATTCATTTAAATTCATATTTTGGGTTTTAAATTGCATTTTAATTCATTTTTTCGCATTTTTATCTTCAATTTTAATTCCCTTTTTTCGCATTTTTGTCTTTAATTCGACTTCAAATAATCAGTTCTTTCAATTCATGTTTTGCTGCTCAAATTGCATTTAAAAATCTTTTTTCTCCTTTTTTCTTCAATTCAAGTTCAAATAAACAATTATTTGAATTAAATTCAAATAATAAATAAACAAATAAATAAATGGATAAATAAATAAATAAATAAATAAATAAATAAATAAATAAATAAATAATTCAAATAAATCATTTTGAAATAAATAAAAACAATTTCGTTTATTTCCACCTTTGCAGATCGACGAAAACGAAGGCGGAGAACCTCTTGTGCGCATTTGTGATTTGGGTAAGAAAAAGAAATCATTTTAATTAATTTAATTAATTTAATTAATATAATTAATTCAATTTATTTAATTTATTCAATTTATTTAATTAATTTAATTAATTCAGTTCATTCAATTTATTCAACTTATTCAATTTATTCAATTTATTTATTCTAGTTTAATTAAATTTAATTTAGATTAATTTAATTTTATTTAACTTGATTTGATTTAATTTGATTTAATTTGATTTAATTTAGTTGAGTTTAATTTAATATCATTTCATTTAATCTCATTTCATTTGAATTCAAAATCGATTCATCACATTTCATTTCATTTTTAAATTCTTTTTAAATATAAATTTAATTTAATTTTGAATTAAATTCAATTTAAATTTAATTTAACTTTGAACTGAATTTGAATTTAATTTATATTTAATTTTCAATTTAAATTGAATTCGATATTTAAATCTGAAATTAAATTCAGAATTAAATTCAAAATTAATTTCAATTAACTCAATTAACGCATGCATGTGCCGATAAAATGATGCAAGTAAATAAATAAATAAATAAATAAATAAATAAATAAATAAATAAATAAATAAATAAATAAATAAATAAATAACAAAATAAAATGTATAAATTAGCAAATAATTAAAATTAATAATTGAAAATAGGTAAACGAAAATGAATAAATGAAAATTAACGAATGAAGATAAATAACAAAAAACAGAAAGAAAGACAAGTAAATAAAAGTAAATAAATAAAATGAGCAAAAATAAATAAAACAAATAAACAAAATAAACAAGTAATATAAATAAATAAAATAAATAAATAAAATAAATGAATAAAAGTAATAAATAAAACAAATAAATAAATAAATAAATAAATAAAACAAATGCAAATAAATAAAGTTGCAAATAAATTCTTTTTTAGGGTCCAGCAAACGCCTCAGCCATGACGAACAATCCATGCCCTACATCTGCTCCAGATGGTAAGCACCACCTAGCCAGCTAGCTAGCTAGCTAGCTAGCTAGCTAGCTTGCTAGCGACCTAGCTAGCTGCATCTATCTATCTAGCTAGCTAGCTAGCTAGCTAGCTAGCTAGCTAGCCAGCTAGCCAGCTAGCTAGCTGCATCTATCTATCTAGCTAGCTAGCTAGCTAGCCAGCTAGCCAGCTAGCTAGCTGCATATATCTAGCTAGCTAGCTAGCTAGCTAGCTGTCCGCCTGGCCACGTAAGTGGCCAGGGAGCAGGACAGGGCGGCAGCTAGCTAGCTGGGCGACGGCTAGCTAGCTGGCTAGCTAGACGGCTGCCCACCGGGCAGCTAGCTAGCTAGCTAGCTAGCTAACTGCTGCTGCTGCTGCTGCTGCTGCTTCTGCTGCTGCTGCTGCTGCTTGTTGGCTGCCTGAGATGTTCAAAACGGTGCGCCTTTAGGTACAGAGCGCCGGAGCTGCTGCTGGGGGCCACGAAGTACTCTGTAAGTATTTTAAAATAAAATAAAATTAAATTAAATTAAATTAAATAAATAAAATAAAATAAAATAAAATAAAATAAAATAAAATAAAATAAAATAAAATAAAATGTTTTTATTTATTCAAATTTGAAATGCTTTTGAAACAGACCGCTGTGGATCTCTGGTGTAAGTCGCGCCGCCGCTGCAGCAGCAGCAGCGCAGCAGCAGCAGCAGCAGCAGCAGCAGCAGCAGCAGCAGCAGCAGCAGCAGCAGCCAGCAGCCGAATCAAACTAAAGCAGCAGCCTCAAAAAGCCGCAACTAACACTACAAATGGCAAATAGGAAACAAAACAAAGCCAACAAAACAAAACAAACGAATAAATAAATAAATAAATAAATAAATAAATAAATAAATAAATAAATAAATAAATAAATAAATAAATAAATAAAAGAAATGAATTTAATTGCATGCAGCTCTCGGGTGTCTGCTGGCGGAGCTGCTGTGTCTGCGGCCTCTCTTCGAATGCGAAGTTCCGAAATTTGGATTTGAAGAAAAAGAAAAAATAAAAAACAAAAAAAACAAAAAAGAAATAAATAAAAAAGAAATGATAAATGGAAAAGAAACAATTAATAAAAAAGAAATAATAAATGGAAAAGAAACAATTAATAAAAAAGAAATAATAAATGGAAAAGAAAGAATAAATAAAGAAGAAATAATAAATGGAAAAGAAATAATTAATCAAAAAGAAATAATAAATCCAAAAGAAGTATTAAATGAAATGGAAATAATTAATGAAAATGAAATATATAAAAGTGCAATTAATCAAAATGAAATAAATGAAATAAATGAAATAAATGAAATAAATGAAATAAATGAAATAAATGAAATAAATAAAAAAGAAATAAATGAAATAAATGAAATAAACAAAAAAGAAATAAATGAAATAAATAAAAATGAAATAAATAAAAACTGGGAAGCGGAAGCTTTTCAACTTATTGCCATTGTCGAACTTCTCGGCTCTCCAAACTCGTGAGGATTTAATTAAATTTGAATTTATTTATTTATTTATTTATTTATTTATTTATTTATTTATTTATTTGTTTGTTTATTTTATTCATTTGTTTTATTCTTTTATTATTTATTTATTCTTTTGCTTATTTATTTCATTTATTTTACTCTTCCATTTATTTATTTTATTCTTTGATTGATTTGTTTTATTCTTTTATTTTTTTATTCCATTTTTTATTTTATTTTATTCTTTTATTTTATTCCTCTGTTTTATTCTTTTGCTTTATCATATTCTTCTGTCTATTATTTATCCTTTTATTTTATTCTTTTATTTATTTTATTCTCTTCTTTATTTTATTTTATTCTTTTATTTATTTTTTTTATTTTATTTTATTTATTTATTTTACTCTTTTTTTTTTCTGTCTTCGTCGATCGGCTGCCCTCGCCAGTCTTCTTGCATTTTTCATATCCATTTATTTATTTATTTATTATTTATTTATTATTATTTATTATTCATTTATATATTTGTTATCATTTATTTATTTATTTATTTATTTATTTATTTATTTACTTACTTATTTATTTGCTGCATGCATGGGAGCTGCAGTAGAACTTGGGGTGTATGTACACCGTGTGGTTGTGTGCATGCCCTCTTTCGACCAGAATTGAAAATCATTTTAATTTTTAAATTTAAATAAATAAAATAAATTCATTTAATTCTTTTTAATTTATTTTTATTTTTTTGTTCTTCAGGGAAGAGGCCAGGAGTCTTTGCGCCGGCTGTCAGCCCCACACAAGAGTGAGTCCTTTCTAACAAATAAATAAATAAATAAGTAAATAAGCAAATAAATAAATAAATGAATAAATAAATAAATATATGTATATATAAATATATAAATAAATAAGTAAATAAATAAATAAATAAATAAATAAATAAATGAAACATAAATAAATGAAACATTTAATTAACTGAAATGCTTAATTAAATGAAACATTTAATTAAAACTTTCGGTTAATTGAATGAAGCATAAATCATTTAATTAAATGAAGCATTTAATTAAATGAAACATCTAACTAAATGAAACATTTAATTAAGTGAAACGTTTAACTAAATGAAACATTTAATTGAAAGAAACATTTAATTAAATGGAACATTTAATTAAGTGAAATATCAAATTAAATGAAACATTTAATTAAATGGAACTTTTAATTAAATGGGACGTTTAATTAAAAGGAACTTTTAATTAAATGGGACTTTTAATTAAATGGAACTTTTAATTAAATGGGACTTTTAATTAAATGGAACTTTTAATTAAATGAAACATTTTCTTAAATGAAGCATTTAATTAAACGAATTACCGAATTAAACAAAATACCAAATTAATCAAATTATCAAATTAAATGCACCATCCAACTAGATGGACCATTAAATTAAAAAGTGGTATTTTATTAAAATGGTTTATTGAATTCAAAAGAATTAATTAATTAAACTAAATGGACCATTAATGGACCATTAAATTAAAAAGTGGCATGTTATTAAAAAGCTTTTATGAAATGAAAAGAATTAAATCATTAAATTAAATGGACCATTAAATTAAAGTGGCATTTTATTAAATGGTTTTATGAAATAAAAAGAATTAAACCCTTAAATGAACTTTGATTTATTTCAAAAAAAATAAAAAAACTTCAAATCTGCCATTTGCAGTTTGCTGCTGCTGCAGCGCTGAAGAAGCTGCGGGGAGTCTCCGGGCTGCTGCTGCAGCAGCAGCTGCTGCCGTTTTGTCCTCCAGAGTGAGTCCAAAGTGAAGAAATTAATGCAAATTAATGCAATTTAATGCAATTTAATTCAATTTATTTTATTTTATTTTATTTTATTTTATTTTATTTTATTTTATTTCAATTAATTTCCATTTAATTTCCTTTTCCGCTTTTTTCCGCTCCAAATGCCTTTCAGTTTCGCCCCAAAAGTCCAAATGCCGTCTTTGCATGCACGCTGAGGTGTCTGTACACCCCAATTTTCCCACCTGCGCCCGACCGCGACCCTTCTTGTTTTATTTAATGCCATTTTATTTAATGCCATTTAATTTAATGCCATTTTGTTTAATGCCATTTAATTAATGCCATTTTATTTAATGCCATTTAATTAATGCCATTTAATTAATGCCATTTTATTTAATGCCATTTTTAATGCCATTTAATCAATGCCATTTTATTTAATGCCATTTTATTTAATGCCATTTAATTAATGCCATTTTATTTAATGAGATTTTATTTAATGCCATTTTTTTTGCCATTAAATTAATGCCATTTTATCTAATGCCATTTTATTTAATGCCATTATAATTAATGCCACTTAATTAATGCCATTTATTTAATGCCATTTTGTTTAATGCCATTTTATTTAATGCCATTTTATTTAATGCCATTTTATTTAATGCCATTTTATTTAATGCCATTTTGTTTAATACCATTTCTTTTTATGCCATTTTACTTAATGCCACTTTATTTAATGCCACTTCTTTTAATGCCATTGTATCTAATGCCATTTCTTTTGATGCCATTTTTAATGCTTTTCAATTAATGCCATTTAATTAATGCCATTTAAGTAACACCATTTAATTAATGCCATTAATAAATGCCATTAATAAATGCCATTAATAATGCCATGAATAATGCCATTAATAATGCCATTAATGCCATGAAAAATGCCATTAATAATGCCATTAATGCCATTAATAATGCCATTAATAATGCCATTAATAATGCCATTAACAAATGCCATTAATAATGCCATTAATGCCATTAACAAATGCCATTAATAATGCCATTAATGCCATTAATAATGCCATTAATAATGCCATTAATGCCATTAATAATGGCATTTATTATTTACAAAATAATAAATGCCATTAATAATGCCATTTATTGTTTTGTTATTTGCTGCAGAGACGGCGGCTTGCTGCAGGTCATTGCGAGTCTCCTCAAGTGGAGTCCGCACGAGAGAGTCGCAGCTGCTGCGCTGCTGCAGCAGCCCTACTTTGGAGTTAAATAAATAAATAATTAAAAATAAATAAATAATTAAAAATAAAATAAATAATTTAAAATAAAATAAATAATTAAAACAAATCTTTTGAATAAATCTTTTAAATTAAATCTTTTTGTTTGCTCTTTTGCTGCACAAGTGCAGCACTGCAGCAGCAGCAGCAAATCTCTTCTTTGCAAAAAACTGTTTGCTGCTGCGCAGCAAATGAGCAGCAAAAGCAGTTTCCCACTTCCAAAAAGCTGCTCAGCAGCAGCAGCAGCAGCAGCAGCACGCTTGTACTGCTCAGCTGCAGCGGCAGCTGCAGCAGCAGAAGCACAAACAGCAGCAGCGCTACTTGCTGCAGTGTCAAGCTTGTGCTGCTGCTGCTGCTGCTGCTTGAAAGACAGAGAAGGAAAAGCACTTTTTAAATCTCTGAACTTTTGCTGCTGCTGCTTCAAAAATAAAAACAAAACTAAAATCCATCTTCTTCATCGAAGTAGTCTTCTTCCCAGCAGCAGCAACGGCAGCAGCAACAGCAGCAGCAACAGCAGCAGCAGCAAATCCAATTGGAAGCAAAAACTAAGGAGAAAGAAGCAAGAAAGGCGCCCAAGCAAAACAACCGCAACCCTAACTAATCCCATCCTCCCCCCCTAAACCCTAAACCCTAAATTAGGGTTTAGGGTTTAGGGTTTGGGGTGTACGTACCGGAGTCGACGTCGTCTATGTCTCCAAACTCCTCCAAAAACGAACGCATGCATTCACTTTTGCTTTTTATAATTCCTGTCTCTTCTTCCACTTCATCTATTTCCACTAAAGCCACGGCGCTGCTGTCTTGCTGCAGCAGCTGCAGCAGCCGCTGCTGCTGCGGCCCCAGGGGCCCCCCGGGGCCCCCGGGGCCCCAGGGGCCCCCGGGGCCCCCGGGGCCCCCGGGGCCCCAGGGGCCCCCAGCCCAACCCTCGGGGTTTTGTGCGGAGTCGAATTCCATTTCGTACAATTCATACTCATATTCGTCTTCTGCTGCTGCTGCTGCTGCTGCTGCTGCTGCTGTTTCTCCTGCAGCAGCAGCAGCAGCAGCAGCAGCAGCAGCAGGGGCCCCCACGTCGCCGCAGACGTCGAGCACCTGCACGGGCTGCCCCTCGTGCAGCACAAAGCTGCCTGCTGCTGCTGCAGCAGCCACCCCCGCCTGCCGCTGCTGCTGCTGCTGCTGCTGCTGCTGCTGCTGCTGCTGCTGCTGCTGCACGTTGACTCTGTACCTGCGCAAGCTGCGAACTGCTTCCTCCACTGCTGCAGCATAACTCCACTTTTCTTTTCCAACTTTTTTGCTGCTGCTTTCAAGTCCGAAGACTTCGGGCCTCAAAGGCAAATTAAAGGAACTCCAGAAGCTGGCTGGCCCTTCTGCTGCTGCTGCTGCTGCTGCTGCTGCTGCTGCTGCTGCTGCTGCTGCTGTCGTGCGCGTTATCGCTGGCTGCCGCCCCTCTCGCTGCACCTCCGCCTCCCGGGGGGCCCCCAACCCCGAAGTACCCTCGGGGGGCCCCCCTGGGGGCCCCGCAAGAGGCCCCTGGGGCCCCACGGGGGCCCCTGGGGCCCCGGGGGCCCCCCGGGACCCCACAGTACCTTCTGGGGCCCCCAGGGGCCCCACAGGACCCTTGGGGGCCCCAGGGGGCCCCACAGTACCCCCGGGGGCCCCAGGGGGCCCCCCAGGGGCCCCAGGGGGCCCCCCGGGGGCCCCAGGGGGCCCCTCGGGGTAAAAGGGTACTGGGGGAGGAGCTGAGTTGACGTGTTTGAAGAGAAGGGCCCTGTCTAGAAGAGAGTTGGTTTGTGCTGCTGCTGCTGCTGCTGCTGCTGCTGCTGCTGCTGCTGCTGAGTTTGCTGCTGCTTTTGGATTAATTTCTCTTTTCTTGGAAGGCCTCAAAAGACACAAAAAGGGGGGCGGGGGTTCGTCGCGGTGGCGCTTCAGACGCACGTACAGCGGCAGCTGCTGCTGCTGCAGCAGCAGCTGCTGCTGCTGCTGCTGCTGCTGCTGCTGCTGCTGCAGCGCCTGCTGCGGCTGCTGCAGCGGCGGCTGCTCCTGCTGCAGCAACTGCAGCAGCATATCGTCCGCTGTCTCCCCCATGGCTGCTGCTGCTGCAGTTTAAAAGCCGCCAAATGGAACAAAAAAGCTGCTGCTGCTGCTGCTGCCGCTGCTGCTGCTGCTGCTGCGAGCAGTCGGGTTTAATTCATATTATTATACTCCTTTACTATTATAAATATTTATTTTTGAATTTATATTTTAAATTGTAAACGCGAAGAAATTAAAACCAAGTCGGCAAACAAATGGAGACGCAACGAGGAACAGTTGCTGCTGCTGCTGCTGCTACTACTGCTGCTGCTGCTGCTACTGCTGCTGCTGCTGCTGCTGCAGCTGCTGCAGCTCAGCAGCACTCCGGCAGCAGCGCGAGCCCCAGCTGCTGCTGCAGCTCCTGCAGCTGCTGCTGGTCAAACAACACCTTCAGATTGAGAGAGCAGGAGGGACAAGATGCGAGGGCGAAGCCGCTGTAACCCGACTCTGCTGCTGCTGCTGCTGCTGCTGCTGCTGCTGCTGCTGCTGCTGCTGCTGCTTGCAGGTCTGCGAGAGGCAGCTCGAAGAGGTCCCCACAAGGACAGGGATAAACGAAAAGAGACTCAAGAGCATCAAACTCCAATTCCCTCAGCTGCACTTCTTCGTAGGCAGCCTCATCCACTGGATCTGCTGCTGCTGCTGCTGCTGCTGCTGCTGCTGCTGGTGAGCCCGCATTCGGCTGCTGCACAGGCTCAGCAGCAGCAGCAGCAGCAGCAACGTCTGCTGCTGCGGAAGCGGAGCTATTCGGCTGCTCCTCAGCCACTCGAGCAGCAGCAGCAGTGCCTGGAGTTTCCTCTTTTGAAGGAGTTCCACTCTCTCTCGTGTCTGCTGCTGCTGCTGCTGCTGCTGCAGCAGCAGGTGCTGCTGTGGCTTGTGATGCTGCAGCAGCTGCTGCAGCAGCACTTTCGAGGCACGCAGGAGGAACTGTGAAGGGAACAGGAGGGCGCAAGGTTAGGAAGCACAGAGGACGCGCTGCTGCTGCTGCTGCTGCTGCGCTGCTGCTGCTGCTGCTGCTGCTGCTGTGAGGCTGCACAGTCGTGGCAGTGGCCGCAGCAGATGAGAGGCTCCGCTGCATGCTGCCTTCTGGCCCGGCTGCGCGCGCTTTGTGGAGAGTTGGGGCCTGGAAGTGAAGCGCTAAACCCTCAGGGTTTAGGGTTTAGGGTTTAGGGTTTAGGGTTTAGGGTTTCGGGGCAGGGCTTGCGGGCTGGAGAAGGAAAGGCGAGCCGTTAGCAGCGCGGCGGATTCTGCTGCAGCAAGTGTGGCCTGCTGCTGCTGCGGCGGGCAGCGCAGCAGCAATTAGTTGTTTATTGAAGTTTGGAGTTAATTAAAAGAGTTAATTAAATAAAATTAAAGAAAGAAAAGAGAAAAAGGGTCAAAGGAGAGCAGAAACCCCGGCGCAGCCACGGTGGTTGGTGGGGGCTGCAGCCATTTCCACTTGAGAAGCAGCAGCAGCGAGGTGCTGCTGCTGCTGCTGCTGCTGCTGCTGCTCCTTTTGGAACTAAATAAATTGCACTTTGCATTTGGGGGCATTTGAGAAGGCGATTTGTTTTGCGGCGACGCGTTTTCGCAGCAGCAGCAGCAGCTCTGCGCGTGGACACCCCACCAGCCTCAGCAGCAGCAGCAGCAGCAGCAGCAGCAGCAGCTGCCTGGGCTTCCCCCTTTGTCTTTTTGACTTCTCCAAAATGTCCGACGACAAAAAAGACGGAGAAAACCCCGAAAAGGAGCACATGCAGTTGAAGGTTCGCTCTCCGGTGAGTTGCTGCGCGTTGCTGCTGCTGCTGCTGCTGCTGCTGCTGCTGCTGCTGCTGCTGCTGGACTTGCTGCTGCTGCCGCTGGAACTGCGGCCTTCCGCTCTCCGCTTCCCGCTCCGCGTCTCCTTCCCTCGCAGTCCATTCTAGCCCCTTTCCCCCTCCCCCGCTGCTCCCCCGCTGCTGCTGCTGCTGCTGCTGCTGCTGCTGCTGCTGCTGCACGGTTTGCCCCTCCCTGCCCCCCCCTGGCACGTACGGCGGCCGCGTCGCCGCGGCCCGGCCCCTCCCCCCCTCCCCTCCCGCTGCAGCAGCAGCAGCAGCAGCAGCAGCAGCAGCAGCAGCTGTGCTTGCAGGACGGAAGCGAAGTGTACTTCAAAATAAAACGCCGCACCAAACTCGAAAAACTCATGACGGCCTACTGCAACCGCCTCGGCCAGTCCATCGACTCTGTGCGTTTTCTCTACGACGGCGAGCGCCTCAAGCCCGAGAAGACTCCCCTCGACTTGGGCATAGAGGACGGCGACGTCATCGACGCCATGGTCCAGCAAACTGGGGGGGCCCCGGGGGCCCCTAAGGGGGCCCCTAAGGGGGCCCCTGGGGGACTCAGGGGGGCTTGGGGGGCCCCTGGGGGCCCTTTGGGTGTGAGGCCAGGGGGCCCTTGGGGGCCCCCGAAGGGTACTCAGCAGGGGGCCCCCAGGGGCCCCCAAAGGGTACCCTTGGGGGCCCCAAAGGGTACCCTTGGGGGCCCCCGGGGGCCCCCAAGGCACCCTGGGGGCCCCCAAGGCGGATGAGTTGAAGGTGAAAAGTTTCCAAGATGTTGGAGAGCGGCAAAGCCAGCGGATGCGCGACAGCTAGCCGGCCTGCAGGTGGCTAGCTGGCTAGCCAGCTAGCTAGGTAGCTAGCTGGCTAGCTAGCTGCTAGCTGCTGGCTAGCTAGCTAGCTGGCTAGCTGGCGAGGTGGCTAGTTAGCCAGGTGGATGGATGGGTAGCTAGCGACCCTTCTAGCTAGCTATCTAACCATCCAGCTAGCTAGCTGGCTAGCTAGCTAGCTAGCTAGCTAGCTAGCTAGCTGGGTAAGAAGGCAGCAGCCGTGCAGCAGAAGAGTGGGGAGTCCTCAGCTAGCCACCCACTGGGCCGGGCGCAGCAGAAGTTGCCTTTTCTCTTCTTTGTTAAACTTCAACTACTTCTAATTGCAGAAGTTCGCCTTCAAAGCCACTCAACACTGCTGCTGCTGCTGCTGCTGCTGCTGCTGCTGCTGCTGCTGCTGTTAGTTGTAGAGCTGCTGCAGCGGGGGAGCAGCAGAATTTGGCGCTTTTTTCGCTGCAGCAAAGGCCGCGTGCAGTGTACGTACAAAACTATTTATTTATTTATTTAGAAGTCGAAAGTTTGGAATTAATTTTGAATTAAGTTTTGAATTAAGTCGAAGTCAAAAGTTTGAAGTTTGCGAATTTTTCGAAATCTGTCGAAGTCAAAGCCTGAAGTTGGCAGCAACTGGCTAGCGAGTTGCTGCTGCTGCGAGCGACAAGAAAGTGGCATTTCCAGAAAAGAAGAAAAGAAGAAAAGAAAAACAAATTTCGACAATTCTGCAAAGTGAAGAAAGAAAGAAGTGACGGGCGGCGTTGGCCGCGGGGGCTGGGGTGTACGTACACCTCAGCCGCGCGCGCGTTCCGCGGCGCCGCGAAGCCGCACTTTTGCAAATTCCATTTATTTCGTTTATTTCATTTATTTATTTCATTTATTTCATTTATTATTTCATTTATTTCAGTTATTTTATTATTTTATTTATTTTGCGTCGGTTTTTTGCGATCTTTTCTTTTGAAAGTCGAAATAAATTGCGTTTTCCCTCTTCGCGCGCTCGAGTTCGACGAGGTCCAGCAGGGCGTTGTAGCAAGACGGGCAGATCACCCGCAGGCCTGCGGGGAAGAAAAGGAAAGCTGATTTGATAAAAGAGTTTTTTAATTTAAAAACTCTTTTATTTATATTTGGAATTAATTTGACTTTTTTAATTCAAGTTCGAAGACATTCCAGTAAGTTCTTCGAATTCAACCGCTAAGCCAAAAGCTGCACAAAACGCGAACTTCCGAACTAAACCACAGCCCCCACTCACAGCTCCAAAACAAACAAAAAGAACCAAAAAAGATTCAAAAAAGATTCAAAAAAGAATCAAAAAGAATCAAAAAGATTCAAAAGATTCAAAAAGATGCAAAAAGATTCAAAAAGATTCAAAAAAGATTCAAAAAGATTCAAAAAAGATTCAAAAAAGATTCAAAAAAGATTCAAAAGTTCGAAAGTTGAACTCACCTTTGCTGGTGCTCCACAAGACCTTGCAGTTGGTGGCCTTCGGTTTGTCGCAGCGCCAGCACCTGCAGCAGCAGCAGCAGCAGCAGCAGCAGCAGCAGCAGCAGCAGCAAAAAAAGCTCATTTTGCGTGGAAAAAGAATGAAAAGAAGCGGAAAAAAAGGCAAGTTGATCTACAATTAAAAGAAAACAATAAATGCAAAAGAAGTTGCGAAAAAAGCAACTAATTGGCGAATTAATTGGCGAAAACAGACATGAAATAGTGCATTTGGGGACTCTTTTTGAAGCTGCAGCTGCGGGCCTCGAACTCCGCGTCGAGTTCTTTGCGCGGCGCCGGCGGAAATCTCTTCAGCGCCTTCAGCGCCGAATTTCGCAGCTTCGAGTTCGCGCTGCGGCTCTCCAGCTGCAGCACCAAATCGCACTTCCGCTCCTCCAGTCCCCGCACCATTTTGCTGCTGCTGCTGCTGCTGCTGCTGCTGCTGCTGCTGCTGCTGCGGGGGGGGCGGGGAGGGGGG